GAGGTAACATCTTCAGTGCTAAAATGGGATGGGGTTTGCTCTCTATTATGTGCTGTGGCCTGCCTTGCCAGTGCTGGTGGGGGTGGGGGTTTTGTTTTGCTCCTCTGGTAGTTCCCTGATTGGCATATGTTTGTCCAGTTATATGCTAGAGAGTGGGAGACTTGTAAGGTTGACGTCAGCCCTCCCAGATAAACCAGACAGGAAACAAGACTAGATGAACTAATTCTACTTTATTGTAAGGCTACATTTATAGAATCTTGCAAGTCTGAAAGTACAAATCTCCTGCCCTCCCTATTTACCACCTGAGTAGTTAGGGTGGATCTTTCCTAAGTTTCTTTCTTTGACCATTACCCTGTTGCAGACTCCTTTCTCTTTTATCTAATCATTCCCTAGGCGCCATCTCTTCCCCCCATCTTCCAAGGCCACCCTCACATTCCATCACACAAAGTCTCATTTAGCCTCCATCTATAACTCTCATCTTATACATTAGAGACACTGGGTTATATGATCTGAAAAAGTCTTTGGCAATATATCTACTTTGTTAACACATGTAACAAGATTTTTACATGTGTTACATGTAAACATATCTATTCTTGAGAAAGATCTGTGTGTTTCAGAGAAAAAAGTATATTCTTTAGAATCACTATTTTTATGTCAACATACATGTATAAGCTCAAAGTTGTCCATCATTTGAAAAAATATTTTCGGTAATTTACCTTGTGTTATTTTAATTCCTTTCACAGAGGTTCTGTCTTTTCTGCAGGCAAATCACTCCATTCCAGTCTCCCATTAGACACCAAGTTTCATATGGCAATATTAATTTTTCCATAAGTCCTTTATAAAATATAGCTTTATTTTCATTTGGGGTATATATTTCCAATATCATTATCTTGGCTTCATTCAAATTAATTTCAGTCCCCACATACCTGCCATGATCATCAGTCAGTATCAATTTTGGTTGTAATTGTTGGTTTATGTACAAAACAACTTCATTTTTCTTACTTGTCCCCACTGAAATAAATTCTTGACCAATTTTTTATAAATCAAATATTTTTTGTCCTTCTTATCTGCATTTCTTGTAGATAAATTATATCTTGTTTCAATTTTTTCAAATAATGAAATACCTTTTTTCTTTTATGGGGAACATTTGCCCCATTTATATTCCACATTAGGCATTTAAAATCCACGTTTATGCTGTAAACTTAGAAAAGTCTATACCTGCTTCCTGTACTTGTTGCATAATTCCTTCTTTTGGATCCACTTTAATTCCTCTTTAAACCTTTCAAAAAAGTCTCTTGCCTTTTGGACTGAGTTAAGTCGGAATCTTTTCTGATTAAAAGTTAAAATCACTCCTTCCAGCTTATCCCAACAAAATGTATCTTTTTTTGTTTCAGTTTATCAGTCAAAAAAGTATATTCTTTTCTCTTGCACAATATTCTGATAGGTATTTCTTTGAGCACAATTACTTCTGAATTATCAATCCCCAGCTTAGTGCTGAAATGTTGTTGCAGAACTTGGTCTCTTGTCTTTTCCCTGACAACGTGTACAAGTATATCTCTTGGTACATTTTTTAACTCTGCATATCTTGTATTAATTCTATACACTTTGTCCACTTCTGCATCCAAAACTTCATCCCATTCCAAAAATTTTGTTAAAAATTCAACAACCCTCTTTCTGATGTCTTCACCAGGTTCCTCTGGAACAGCTCTCAGTCTCAGACAAAATTCTTTCTTAATTCCAGTAGTACCACATTATCTAAATCTTTTTCCATCTCTAGATTATTTTGGTTTTATTTTCCAAAATTTTCTACTTTATCTTTAATTTGTTTAACCTCTCCACTCATTTCTATTACAGAGTCTTCCATTTTTTATTCATCTTTTCTTCCATGTTTACAAATCTTTCCTCCATTCTCTCTTCAAGTGTAGCCAGATCTCTTTTAACAGATTTAGTGACTGATGCTGTCACTGGCACTGTAATGTTCTTCCCCAATTCTTGAAACATCCTTTGCAATATCTCTGGCATAATCCGTTCCTCTCTCATTTGCTCTGTTAACAATCCTCTCCTCCCTTTTGTGAGTTTTGCTGCTTTCCTGATAGTAGCCGTTTCTCTTCTTTAATTTGTAATCCAGAAAGGAGCAGTAAAAGTAAAGGAGAGGCTTTTTTTTCCCTTCCCCCTTTCTCTGTATCCTTAACTCTTTAGTCCCATTCAGCACTCCATAGTTCTATAATCAGATCATCTTTCACAACTTTCCCATATCTCTTTGTTTAATGAAGCCAAGCAATCATCCCTTTTAGCAAATCTAAACAGTCCTCATTCCCACAGAGGCATGTATTATTTATTTAATTAATTCAAAAGTACTTTAAAGTAAATAATATTCCAAATTCAACTGTCCCCTTAATTCATTTTAAATTTTCTTCATTCAAACTCTTCGCAAGCTTTCTGCTTTTAATTATTTTTAAATCCTTCTAATTGTTTCTTTATTTTTAACTTTAATCCAGGTTGACAGATCACTCACCAGCTGGTTTAATTGTTCTGCTGCTTGGAAGATCTCTGTAGCTTTTAAAATTGATATGTTCCAAATGTGCAGTAGAAAGTGGAGATTTGGGCAAACCCAGTGTCCTTAAACAGACTCTGCTCAAGGGTGTGAGCTTGATATTTCTTCCAAGGCTCCCAGTGCTCTACTCATGAGTCGCCCACAGGGACTCTTAGGGTCCTATGGGTCTCCTCACAAGGAGCTGCCTTCCAGAGCACAAGTGGGTGATCTCCTGGTCAATCTTTGTCCAGAAAAACTCCACTGGCCCAGACTTCCCACCCGGTCAGCAGTTTCTGCTTTGGCATCATCTCCACTGTTTGGAGATGCGTCGGTATGCCATTTTCTCCACCTGAAAGTCCCACTAAGTGGCACGGTCGTTCTCCACCTGAAAGTCCCACTACGTGGCATGGTCGTTAATTGCTGCCAGCTTCCCAATTGACTTTGCTTGTCGGAAGCCAGCTGTGAAGGTCACAAATGGCGATCACGTGACTGCAGGGTGTTGTAACTGTCGTAAATGTGAGCTGGTTGCCAAATGCCTGAATCACAATCATGTGACTGCAGGGACTTTGTAATGGTTGCAACTTCGAGGAGCAGTTGTAAGTCTCATTTTTCAGTGCTGTCGTAACTTTGAAAGGTTGCTGAACGAGTGGTCAGTAAGTGAGGACTACCTGAATTGCACTCAGTGAAGTGGGCAAGTTGAAATTAAACCAGGCAAGTTTGGAGGTACTGTTGGTTGACAGAAAA